ATGCGTTACATATTAACAGTTCAAATGGACCGCCCTTTTTATGACTAGTGCAGTTGAATCCTATTTTCAGTTTCACGGGACATTTATATTTTCCGTTTTGCTTACCGCGCAGATCGTTTTTACCGCTTCGGTTATACTATTTTTGTGCCAAAACCGTGGTTAACTCTAAATTTGTTTTATTGCATGAGTTTGCTGGCCGCCTTCGGTCACGCGTTGACTATTGATCCAAATCGGCTTTGCTTGCCCTTTGGAATACCTCACCGTTTGTCGAAAACCGTTGAGGTTTGTAATTTTGCGTTCTGTGTGACTACTTTCATCTTTATAGTACAGCACATTTGCGTAGCCATTCGTTCAGAGTTTTGCCGGTTTGGTTGCTAAACTTGGTGCTCGTCGCTCAAAAATTCAAAGCGGTCGTTACACTGGTGACTTCTCATGCTTTAGTAGCGCTATCTCGTACCCTATTTATTCTTTCGACGGGTGATCAAGGTCGACATTCCATTCACCCGTATGCATTATCTCCACAGGCTGTTGCACGAGGCCAGCTAAACTGCTCTTCGAAGCGTTCGGCCCATCTTTCCGGGCAACGTTTTTGTTGGCGAATTTATGAGACATCTTTTTCGCTTATCGTTTCGTTGACTGTTGCTTTCCTAGAGACAGTCGATCGTATCAGTTGATATGGGGCAAGGTTGTCTCCCTTAGCTAATGGCTTCTCCATCTCCCGAGCTTTCGATGTTCACCGGAGCTCTCGGTCTTTCCTTAGACTCTTCACTATTTGGTGTATGAGGGACTTGCGTGAGCAGTCTTACTCGTTGATTGCCGGCAGCAATGATGGATAGCGACCCCGATGACATCCGGTGGTCATATGGTCGAACTGAAGAAGTCGGAGGGACAGCACTGAACGCCGCCAACATAGCTCTTTTCACATGTTGCTACGCTTCATCCTCATACCGCCAACACAGTATTGGTTTACTCTGGAGAGTTGTTGGGTTAGCTCAGGTCGTTACTGTTGAGCAATGGTAGTTCTTAGAAGACAATGGATTGACATGCTTCTTACTTAATTTCGGAGGCCTGAAGTGAAGCAAACTGTCGGGCGTGCAACACCATGGCGTGATCAGGATCAGGTAGTGCCCTAGAGGGGACGGCAGTCTTGAATTGTGACTCTCCCCTGGTAGCTGATGGCTACGTAATCCAACTGGGTCCACGGTTGATTTGCCGACCGCCAAAACGTTTTTGTTGGCGAATTTATGAGACATCTTTTTCGCTTATCGTTTCGTTGACTGTTGCTTTCCTAGAGACAGTCGATCGTATCAGTTGATATGGGGCAAGGTTGTCTCCCTTAGCTAATGGCTTCTCCATCTCCCGAGCTTTCGATGTTCACCGGAGCTCTCGGTCTTTCCTTAGACTCTTCACTATTTGGTGTATGAGGGACTTGCGTGAGCAGTCTTACTCGTTGATTGCCGGCAGCAATGATGGATAGCGACCCCGATGACATCCGGTGGTCATATGGTCGAACTGAAGAAGTCGGAGGGACAGCACTGAACGCCGCCAACATAGCTCTTTTCACATGTTGCTACGCTTCATCCTCATACCGCCAACACAGTATTGGTTTACTCTGGAGAGTTGTTGGGTTAGCTCAGGTCGTTACTGTTGAGCAATGGTAGTTCTTAGAAGACAATGGATTGACATGCTTCTTACTTAATTTCGGAGGCCTGAAGTGAAGCAAACTGTCGGGCGTGCAACACCATGGCGTGATCAGGATCAGGTAGTGCCCTAGAGGGGACGGCAGTCTTGAATTGTGACTCTCCCCTGGTAGCTGATGGCTACGTAATCCAACTGGGTCCACGGTTGATTTGCAAATCGACCGCCAAAATGCGATTCCAGCGAGCTCAGTTGACCAGCTTGTGCATCCAATTCGCTTGCAAGGATCACAATATCGGTGCAGTTTGCTTGACGAATGAGCCCGAATAGCTCTCGATAGAAAGTATCCTACTCCGCTTCAGAACTGCGGTCCGTTATAGCATAATCCAACACTACAAACAGGTACCGCCTTTTATGCCGAGAGGCTTTGAGAATGATTGGTCTGGATAACCAGACGATGCAAACCTACTGTTTGCTGGGATCCAACCCAGCAAAGCGCATTCAGCTCTGGAGCTTAGCACGATTCCCACGCCATATATTAAACAAGTCTTCGCCCCTGGGTCACCAGACACAGAGGGAGAAATATTAAATAGCTTAGTTCAAAACTAAATTTTAAGGCAGCGAACAGTCATTATTTGAGGAAGGAAGCAGGGAAGCACGAGGGCAGGAATATTGCCATGTTGCCCAAGCCTAGAAAGATAACACTCAACTATTTCATTTCTCCTCATCACCGTGCCCTCTAACCCACTTGTTCCAATAACTGCAGGTACGACGAGCTCCTCGTCTGACCCCAGCTCATGACATATCATATGCGTTCCAACCTGCTGGACTTTTCGTCCACGTTTAACCATTTCTGTGTGTCTGTTTCCCAAAGAACTGCTTGCCCGACCCCACAACAGCGACACCTGCGAGTGTCTACAGTTTCGCGGTAGTGACTTGGTGACTGATGATCCTTAATCTTGCTTTCTTGTTAGGTTGAAGTAGTAGACCTCAGTTTAGCTACGATTCTAAACAAGTATCTGAGAAGCTGTTGTTTGTCCGCCTTTTACTTCTCTACTGTCACTGCTCACATCAGCCCCTCTTGCTGCACAACAAGGACCCTATGTCATGATGCTTTGGTGAGGAAAAACAACCGCCCTTTCTCAACTAGTTCAACAGCTAATCTCCCTGCTAGTTACCTCGGCGATAAAAATCTCGCCCTCCTAAATCTATGCACTTACTCTGGCCCAATGAGTACTTGGCTTCTAGATCAGCAAACGTGTTCATCCTTCTTGGGCCCATTTAACTTGCTGTCACCCCCTTTCAGATTTTTTTCTATTGACACTGTTGTATCTTATGTCTCCTGACATTCTGCACACGCTAC